TTAGGGCAGACTTTTGTTTCATTCAGTGTTGTATCCCTATCACCCAGATCAAAACCTGCCACTTTGCAAGCACAATATTAAAGGAGTGAGGTGAATGGTAGTCTTTGTTGTCTACTTTGTGTATTGTCAAATAAAAATGTTTAAATCTATACCAGCTATCCTACTGGCAAATTCCCAGTACTCACTTTTCTGTTAGCTGATTCGAGTTTGTGGGATGAAAAGTATAATCCTGGCTTAAACAAAAACAGTTTCGCCATACACGTTATCATACACTCCAAAGTTTGTATATGAACTTCAAGTTATCCCCTGCTTTCTTTCATTTGGACAGACAACCGCAGTTCAATAATCTGTAGCTATTTTACTGGTCTTGAAAATATACTCTCAAAAACTGGGAGGTAAGGAAATGTACAGGCTAATTGTAGACTTACTACTAGTAATATTCAATAACAGCAGCAACTAAGCCTGAAACCTCACTATGTGCCAAGCAATGCACTGACAGTGTCACGTGCGACCCTATCACAACTCTTAAGTAGGTATTATTACTACCTCCATTTTTTTAAATGAGAAAAACTGAGGCTTAAAGGTTAAAAATTTGCCCAAGATCACAATGCTAGTAGATAAGAGAGCCAGGCCCATCTTAGATGTGCCTTATGCCAAAGGCTTCATTACTAACTAAATTAGTAGAACTGAAAATAAGTCTACTGTGGTAAAATAAACAAATCTATTGGGTTTCAAATTATAAGTAATGTGCATGAAATACAAATATTGGTATAACAGTTTAGCTGCTAAAAACTGAGCACCTTGAAGATGAAAAGTCTAGCTGGTTGAAAATTTTAGAATTACATCTTTAAAATATCAAGAATCAATAATTCAGTTGAACTCAAATCAAACCACATTTAAGCCTTCAAAGATCCCAGGTCCAAAAGAAATAAGAAATGTCAAAAACTTAAAGTAAATGCTTTTTTAAAAAAATAAACTGTTATTTCCCAAACAATCCTGAATGCCAGAACATGTTTACTACCACACTGTCACATCAACAGAAGAGCTTGAAGTGAGAAAATGTACTACTCTGTACAGATAAAAAGTAAGCAACAAAAGAAAGTATAGTTCCTTTACAAGATTGAAACACCACAAGATTGAAACACCATACAGAGAAGAAAAAGCCTTTCTGCTTCAGTTTTCCAATGCTTGCAAAATAAGGATAAAATTTTCTTCTTGCATGTACCTCTAAAGTTTTAACAGAATGTGAAACACTAACAAAACAATTCTGCAAATGTGAAGTACTAAAGCAAGGGTCAAAAACTCAAATGCCAAGAGGAGCCAGGCATAGAAAAGTCACCCAGTCAGTAATAAGGCAAAATGGAGAGTCTTGCCCCACCAAAGACCTAACTCCAATATACAAAAGAGCCGCCCTTCAAAGGAAGCCAGAAATCTGTATTTCAATGTTAAACCTTCTGATTTTTTAAATGTTGTCAACTAATTCAATTACAATCCACACACATGCAAATTAAAAACATAAGATTTGCCACCAAAATGCCTAAAAGTATAAGATGGAACACCAAGTGTTGGGGAGAATGTGAAGCAACTGGAACTCTCCTACTCTTGTAGAGGGAATGTAAATGTGGTACAATCCCTTAAGAAAACTGAAGTCATCTACTTAAAGCTGAACATCTGCATGCCCTATTACAAGCCTGCAGTTCCACTCCACGTAATTCAACATAAATTCGTAGACTTGAACCAAAACACATGTTCAAGGGTGTTCAAAACCGTGCTCTTCTTAATAGACAAAAATTGGCAACATTCCATTGCCCACTAACAGTAAAATGAGAAAATAAAATGTGGTATATTCATACAATGTAACACTACACAAGAATGAGACTAAGAGGCTGTTCCTATATAACATGAATGGATCTTATAAATATGCTGAAAGAAATAAGCCCACAAAAAGAGTACATACTACCTGATGCCATTCCTATAAAGCTCAAAAAAGCATGAAAAATGAATCTACAATGTTATAAGGTAGTGCCTGAAACCAGTAGTTACCTCTGGGAAAGGGGAGTGAGTGGCAAAGGGCAAGAAGAGCAAAACTTCTGGAAGGTACTGATTATGTTCTACTTCTTGATCTGAGTACTGTTATACGCTATGTGTTCATCTTGTGAAAATTCCAAAACTTATGATTTGTATACTCTTCCCTAGGTATGTAGACCTCAATTTAAAAAAAACTTTTAAAACACACACACACACACACACACACACACACACACACACAGAGAAGATACCCAAGGAGCCCAAAGTATTTCTGCAGGCAGACCCAGCTTATCAGAGCAGATCTGTTTGACCTCTCAGCTAAAGAAATACTCTACATTCTTACATTTAAAGAACAGCAAAGAAAACAATAAAAGCAAAATAAAATTGTGTCAGTGACTCTACATGACCAGGTCAGTAACTAACAAAATATAAATTTCTCCTTATAGCAACACCTCTTAGAGTGTGTTGTCCAGTTTAACTGCCTCATACACTTAATTAACAAGTGTCTCAAAAGATACAGTATAAGAACACAGTAAAATGCAGACAGTAGACTAAAAATTAAACAATAAAGTGTACAAATTCAAAGCAGCCATTAAATCACCGACACAATCCTCTTCCCTGATTCCTGAACAACTTGACTTGCCACTCATTGATAAGAGGCAATTTTATCTCATCCAAAAGGAGTCACAACCTGTACCACTGAGAGTTACCAAGAAGCCTACAGCAGAAAAGAAGAGCCTTAGGCTTCACCCAGTTAAGTTAAAGCAAGCCATACAGAATCCAACTACATAATGCAGCTACTTAATCAAATAACTGTTAAATGACTAAACGTTAATTTTAAAATGCCTTCTTAGCACTAACTGTGTCCTCTCAAGACCCTATATCCCAATTCCTTTCTGTTCCTGAGATATGAAATGATCCCCAACTTTGAGTCACTGCTAGTGTTTCTCCTCCACCTTCCTGTTTCCACCTGTTTACAGCCTGTCCTATCTTTCATGTCCCAAATCTACTACCTCTGTGTATCGGAAGATCCTAGAAATATCACATATTAAATCAAATACCTGCATTTTTGAAAGTGTCTCTTCCTGTAAGTAACAAATACTGTTCAGTTTCATTGCTTACTAATCAAACATAATTCGAATTAATTTGAGCCGTAACTCAAGACATACAGCAAGTTTACCTTGAAAATGCAAAGCTGCTGCTCCAAAGTGATAAAATTGCACCAATCAAGTAACCATTTTGACAAAACATTTTAAGTTACAAATTAATCTTCTTAGCATATCACCCTCACCAAATATATCTGCACTAAAGTAAAGCCTATCGCAGCAAAAGAAACAATCTTTGACACACACACGTATCTCTGGGAAGACACTTACAGTCCTCATAGAGCAAGTAACTGCTAAAGCATCAAGACAAGTACATAGTCCGTTTACAGTTTAATAAAAAAAAAAAAGGTACTACAACAATGTTCTGACATTCAAGTTAAGTAGCCTATCAAATTATTTTCAGATCTGAAATCAGTTTAGAATTCCCAAGAAAGTAGGACTTTCCCATTTGGTTTAGAAATGCTCAACAAACTCAAAAACAAAAAAGGAAAATCTGGCACCTCTACTTTTTCCTTAAGGGCAACATTCTGTAAAACAGATTACACTCACACTTACTAGAACTTCAAACTCCACTCACTAACGGCTCAAAAGTTGCAAGGCAACAGATAATGACAGAAAGTAAAAACAATGCAAACAGTCCTAAGATATCCGCATCCAAGTGCTCAGTCGCACACAAAGGTGCGCTGCACATGACACGCTTTCAAGGCTCCACGCTAAGGGTTCGCTTGGTACAAAGCAGTAGAAGACGAGATCCCTAGTGACACCCTGCAAACGTCTGCCAGCTTTCAGGAAAACCATGCTGAAATGCAAGTCCTGTGAAATACCTACTCGCAACTCCTGACTCAACCTCAGCACACGATAAACGCGGCTGTCCGTTCGCTCTTCATCCTTAGAAAGCATTTCCTGCCTGGAAAACCTTTCTCCCAGAAGCCTTGCACAAACTTTTTCCGCTCATTCAACCCACTGCACGAAGCCTCAGAGCCCGCCCTCCCATCCCGCCTCCGACCCACACACACCCACCCAGCGACCTCAACCCTCGGCCGACTCCACTCCACACGGGCACGCAGAACACGTGTGCCCGCAAACCCAGCCCCTTTCCACACCCCCCGGAAACGACACCCCCTTTCCCGCACACCGCACGCCACAACCCATCCCCCTTCCTCCCCGCCCCCACTCCACCACCCCAGTCCACCACCCACGTTCCCAGGAAGCCAGCCTCCCCTTGCTCCCGGGCTCGCCGAAGGCTGTGGGGAGGGGAAGCAGGAAGACGGAAGGAGGGCTCGGGCCTGGCCTAGGCCTCTCAGAGCGCCGAGGGAGGCGAAGGGGGAGACCCGCGGGCCGGGCTCGGTCGCAGGGCCTCGTCCGGCCCCGGGCCTTCCCTCCGCCGCCGTCCCGAGGCCGAGGCCGAGGCCGCCCTCTTAGCCCGGACCACACTCACTTGCCAGCCGCGGTCCGTCGAGGACCCCGCTGCCGCCTCCTCCACCGGCCGCGGCTCCTGCCACCGGGCCCCCAAGGTCTGGCTTTTTGGGCCCCGGGGGCGGCCCGGCTCCCCCGCCCGGGACCGCTCCGGGCGGAAAGCCGGCCACGGGCGCGCCCGCCAGAGCCAGGGGGACGCTGTTGCTATGGAGGCCGAGGCCCGGGGCAGCTCCGGCGGCTGGGTCCTCATGCAGGAACTGACACTCCTCCCCGTAGAAGCAAGTCTTATCCTTGGCGTAGTAGCGGCAGTACTTCAGCTTCACTCCCGCCGCCGCCCCGCCGGGGACACCCCCGACCCCAGGCGGGGCCACCACCGCCACTGCCGCCGCCAGCGAGGAGGAGGAAGAGGAGGCGGCGGCCGAGGGGGGCGGGAGGCCGCCGCCACTGTTCATGGCAACGCTGCAGCCTCGTCTTCCGCTGCCGCCCTAGGAGCCGCCGCCGCCACCATAGACCGGGGAGGGAAAGAAGACGCTGCCGGTGCCGGAGAAAAGCCTGGGCGGGTGGGTCTGTCCCGCTGCGGGAGCCGGAGCCGCCCGGGGAGAGGGGGGGAGGGGAGGGAGGAGGGGGTAGGAAGGAGGGGAGGGGAGGGGGAGAGTTGGGATTCTCTCTCACTCACTCTCTCGTTCTCTTTTCTTAAAGGGGCCGCGCGGGACGACGGGGTGGGCGCGCGGGCCCGGACGGGGACTTCGAGGACGCGGGCTCGGGGAGGGGGAGCGGCGGCGGCGAACGGGCGGGGAGGGCGGAGGGGCCGGTTTATTTTTAAATTCTGCCTCCACTCGCTCTCTCGCGCTCTGGTTCCTCCGAGTTGTTTATTCCATTTTCCTCTTCCTGAGACGGCCGTCGCCGGTGCGCCTGCGCGTCGAGGCGCAGGGGCTTGTGGGTAGCGGGAGCGCGAGGGCTAGCCTGGCCTGGCGTCGGGCCCCCTGGGCATCCGAGAGCCGGCGGCGGTTGGACGGGCCGACGGCGGCGGCGCTCCCCGACGCCGAGCCGGCTCGGGAAGTTCTCACGAGGCGAATGCCCTCCCTTTTTCGTATTCCTCTTGTTTATAAAGCCAGGCGTCATTTTTTAATTGAAACGACGAAATTTACAGAATGTGATTGTCATTTTGAGGGGCCACACCTGGGGCCGGAGCCCAAGCCCTTGCTCTGCTGGGAGAGTATCTCTGTCTGTTCGCCACGCTTCCGCACCCTCGCTTTTTCCCCTCCCTCCTCTTTTTCCTTCCCGCTGAGGGTGATGAGAACTACGGGACTGATTGCCTAAAAACTCCTGGGCCTTTTATTCCAAAAATCGAATCTGAGAAGGTTGATTTGGGCAAACCCCCAGCTGAGTGCAGCACCTGTTTTCTCTATTTATATTACTGAAAGCCTTCAGTAAAATATTATGAACAATGAGATGCCACCTGGGGACACCGCTGCCTAGGCAGCACCAGAAGGTTTCCCTTAAAATCGCGCTGGGTTTCTTTTCTCCAATCGGCCTAGTCTTGACTCGAAATTCATTTTTAAAAGAGTTTTTTTCCCTTACCGATCGCTGATGTTATGTTCCGCTGTACTTATTTAAAAAAAAAAAAGTTTTAAGGAATTTTAAGGAGTTGCTATGAAGGGAAAATAACTTTAACGTTTTAGTTTTTCTCCTCTGCAAAAGGTCTTCTCAAAAGGCAATTGGAAGGGGGGGTGTTCGTTGGCAGAATTTGAGGAACTGTGGCAAACAGAAGAGGTCACAGAAGAACGGATAGAAGCAAGTGTACCACACTGCAGAAAGGGGGAAAGTGGATTCCATAGACCACAAACCGGTAAGCCTGGTGACGTTCCTTTGCTAAATTCGAAGTAGTAATAACATTGTATTGTGTCTTTCTGTTTAAAAATATTTCCACATGTATATTTACTCAACATATGTTTATTAATGCTCATCACGTGTACCAGGAACTGAGCTCAGAGCTGGGGAAGCAAAAGAAAACAAAATGCAGTCTTGTCTGAGTTCAGATGGCTTGTTTATTCTCTCCTTGGGGAGACACATGGTACACAGGCCATCACAAATGAGTGTCTTAGGTGCTAACCTTGTCACACTAGGTATTAGAGGATATTAAAGATGTTGGCTTCCTGGAGAAAGCTGATAGCTTAATAGCAGGACTTGAGAACATCTGCTTTGAATTCAGACAGATCTGAGTTTGTAACCCAGTGGCGACACTTAAGAGCTGTGTTACTCTAGGTAAGTTGCTTCACTTCTCTGTGCCTTATCTGTAAGGCAGGTAAGAATACTACCTACTTGGTAAAGTAGAAACTAATAATGCATATAAAGTATCCCATGCTTAGTAAGAATTCAGTAGGTTGTAGCTATCACTATTAGAAATATTGCTGCTACTAGTAGTCAGCATGTAAGAGTGCAGACAGGAGCCTTCCAGGCAAAGCAGACAGCTTGTGCAAAAGGCCTTGAGGTGAAAAAGAGCTTAGATTGTTAGAATGGTGACGGTGGAGGACCATATCACGAAATCCTTGAAAAGCATGTTAAAGGATTAAATTTTTTCTTGAGGGCAATAGAAAGTTATCACAAGGTTTTAAAAAGTCAACTAATAACATGATCAGATGTCCCTTTTGATTCTCATAAGAACCCTATGAGGAAAGTAAAGAAGGTGGGTTATCACCATTTTATAGATGAACAGACTTAAGGCCTAGAGTTACACAGAGTTACCAGCTTATCCTTGCAAAGCCAGGACCTGAACTCAGGCCTACTAACCACAAAACATGTGCTCTTTCCATCACGCATTTTACCATTTCTAAAATAAGCATATGTGTCTCTGGATGACTTGGAAAGGAAAGTGGTGTCTGTGGTGAGACAACAGATTCATTAAGTTCACGACAAATTAAGCATATCATTCCAGCAAACCTTTATTGAGAATCTACTGTGTATTATGTACCAAGCAAGTTCTGTGCTAGGCTCTGCTATGAGAAATGTGTAAGATACAGCCTTCGTCCTCAAGAGTTACCAGAATCATGAGAGAAATGCCAAAGATAAAGTAAATTATCCTTCATTACCACATTTGACAAAGTTTTCTATTAAATCCCTGTGAACAAGATGGAGAAACATAGGCTAAGATCCTACTATAGTTAGGTGACTTTAGTACTCTTTGATTAGTCAATCAAAATGTTGATAAAGCTGGCCTTGGAGCTCCTTGAACAATATCCAAAGAGTATTAATAAATTGACGCATGTCAGCATGGTCTTTACTGTCCTGCTTGGAACTCTGTCCTTAACCTATTTTTAATGAAAACAATGTTTTCTACTGCCTAGATGAAGAATAGCAGATCTGCAGTGTGTTGTTGCAAAACCAGTGGAGACAGGCAGTGTGATAAGGGACAGATTAGGATTTAAAATCTCCATCAGTGGAAAAAATGGAGCAGTGCTAACAAAATGAAACCTAAAATGAATCGGGGCAACAGAGCCAACAGGCTCTTTAGTACAGCACTGATGGTACTGCCTCAGCCGCCCCCCATCCTGCACCCTCAAAGCAAGTTAAAAGTGTTTCCTCAGGAGCCTTGAGAATGTACATCACCTTTGAACTATTCTTGTTTTACTTGGCAAACAAATCCTAGAAGGTAGCCATAAATAACAAATTTTATGCTACAATGTACTTGTTACAGTGTGACTTATGAAAGCCAAACAAGAAAAGTTGCAAACAACCTAAATTCTAAAACCAAAGGGAAAGGTTAAACAGTGCACTATTCACAGAGAATATTTTGCAGCCATTAAAAAGCCATGAACTGTGCAACAGTGCTTATGATGCAGTGTAAGTATTTAACATGATACAGAATTGTATGTGCTGTTTTATTGTGATGATGTAAACAATAAAAAGCCTAATAGAAATAAAGATTAAAGTAACTGTCTCAAACATTAACAGTGGTTTTGCTAAGATGACAGAGTAGGTTCTTCCTATCTTTCCTCTACTTCCCAAATCTGTATCATGAACATATATTATTTCTATAATAGAAAATAAGCATTAAAACTTTATTGTAGGGGCTTTCCTGGTGGCGCAGTGGTTAAGAATCCGCCTGCCAATGCAGGGGACACGGGTTCGAGCCCTGGTCAGGAAAGATCCCACATGCCGCGGAGCAGCTAAGCCCATGCGCCACAACTACTGAGCCTGCGCTCTAGAGCCCGCATGCCACAACTACTGAGCCCACATGCCACAACTACTGAAGCCCACACACCGAGAGCCCGTGCTCTGCAACAGGAGAAGCCGCCGCAATGAGAAGCCCGCAAACCACAATGAAGAGTAGCCCCTGTTTGCCGCGCACAGCAACGAAGACCCAACACAGCCATAAATAAATAAACTTTATTGTAATTTAATCGTAACTTTTTCCTTCTATGGAGTGAGTACATGGTTGTTTGTTAAATTGTTCTCTGTATTTTTGGTTTCATTTTGTTTTCAATAAATTAATTTTGTGAAGACAAGCTGGACATTTGTTGTTGGCCGTTTCTTTAAATTTTCACTAGTCCAGTGTTTCTCAAAATATATTTCATGGAAGACTGGTTTAACAGCATGTTAATTGATATTACACAAAGGACAAAGTTCTGTTATTGAGAAAGTTTGAGAAACTCAAACAACTTGAAGTCTTTTTCAGAGTCTTTAACATGTTGATATGTTGTAATTATCGAAAAGCAGGATTTTTAAATTTTTTAGACCGGCAACCTGCCGTTTTTAAAATAGAACATTTATTGCTTAGAGGTTTGATACAGAACAGCTTTTCTCGTTTTGAATTTGGAACTACTATACAACTGAATACAAAAAGGAACAAAACCGAACTTGTGATTCTCTGTTAATGTGGCATAAACCAGTTTTGGACATAACATGTAGCAGCAGTTTTTTTTGTTTTTTTGCTGTATGCGGGCCTCTCACCGTTGTGGCCTCTCCCGTTGCGGAGCACAGGCTCCGGGCACGCAGGATCAGCGGCCATGGCTCACGGGCCCAGCCCCTCTGGGGCACGTGGGATCCTCCCGGACCGGGGCACGAACCCACGTCCCCTGCATCGGCAGGCAGACGCCCAACCACTGCGCCACCAGGGAAGCCCTGTAGCAGAAGTTTTTAAGTTCCCTTTAGGAAAATATGAATTCTATACATTTTTTTATTGTTTCCTGTTTAATGCGTGGGCTGAACTCACTAGGATCAACTTCCTTCTGGAGGAAAGAGGAGCAGAGGGTGGAAAGAACGGTGAAACTTTCTGAAACCGGCATCCGACTATCACGTAGCTTCCCCAGGGCTGGTTGAAAAAATAGCCCTTAGGGTTTTTTTATTTTGTTTTCACAGCCGGGAGTTTCATGTATTGATTGAATCTCAGCATCGTGTCCATAAATCAAAGAAACTTGCACCTCAAAAAACTTTTCAGAAGCTCCATATAAAAGCAGGATTTACGAAAAGCAGGATTTACACAGAATTTACGAAAAATTTTTACCACTTTTTTCAGAACCGTTTTGCTTTGAGAAACATTGTCCTAGTCATCTGCTTTCTCATTTTCCCTATACTTTAAAATTCGTCCACCTCCTTCAGTCCCCCATCGCAACCCTTGTACCTTGCTTTCTGTTCCGTACAGCCATAGAAAGGAGACACCGGCAAACCTCATCAGAAGAGGGGCCCTTCTTCCATCCAGGACTAATCCTTTCACTCATGCTGTGATCCTGCCCTAGCATTTCCTCAGGAATCTAGTCGTTCTCCATCCAGTGTCTTCTCTCTCTTGACCCTCTTCTTAGGATATGAATATGTACATTGAAATACTTTTTAAGGCATTTATTCTTTCATATTGTGAACCTCTTGTAATCAGAAGCAGTAATGTTTTTGTCCTTGTTTTTAAAAGTCTCAGAAACAAACACTGCTGGTAAGAGGGCTAACTGACACAGCCACATTGGAGGGCAATTTGGCAATATCTATACAATTTTTGAATATCCATACTCTCCGGCCCAACAGTGCCACTCTTGGTATCTCCCCTAAAGAAGCACTGGTGTGCCCAAGGAGGCATACGTGCAATGCTCATTTGAGGCGCTGTTGATAACAGTGAAATTGGAAATGACCTAAATGTTCATAAATGGTCCTATATGCACCATTATTCCCCAAGACCTATTGTTGAATGAAAAAGGCATGATGCAGGTAAATACGTGGAATATAGCACCTTTTATGTAAAAATCATTATATCCTATAAGGATGTGTACAAATGTGTACAGAAAGAGCTGGAAAGATAAACATTAAATTGCCAACAGGATGGGGATTGGTAGTAGTGATCAAAGGGCATTTTAGCTTTATCTGTAATGTTCCAGATTTTACAAGAAGAATGTATGCCTGCTTATGTAATTAAAATTTTAGTTTTTAAATTCCCATTGGGCTCCCTCTTTTGCTCCAACTTCTCTTCACAGGCAGTTTAATACTTGTATCATCCATTCGTCTCTTAATCGAGATTAATCTGACATTTGCCCTTGCTATGTTAAAATATTTTTGTTTTTTACCAGAGCCATCGCTGGTATTAGTTAGCAGATTTATTACGTACTTTTCAGCTCTTTTATATTTCCTCTAGAATATTCAGCAGCATTCACCCTTTTCGCAGCACTCCTCTCTCTCTTGGCTTCCAGTCACCCTTTTCTCTTGTTTTTTCTCCTGCCTCTGCCATTCAGTGCCGCCTGCATGGTAGGACTTGCAGAAATACTCGTGGAATACATTTCAAGTAATTCATTTATTACAATTCAAGACAATGCATGGAATATCCTCTGAGCTTTTAGCTTGTGTTGTGAACACAAAATGTAATGTTAATGAGACAAAAAGGTACACTGGATTTGGAATTAAAATGAGGTTTGCAACCTGGTTCTTACTACATGATACCCATGTGGCTTTTAGCAAATCTCTTAACCTCGCTTAGCTTCAGTTTCCTAATTTTTAAAATGGAAATAATCCCTGCTTTATGGGGCTGTCCTGAGAATTGAATGACACAATGAGAACCTCATGGTGAAAATAATCTCTCTGCCACTGAGTAAACAAAATTTTTATTTGCAAAGTAATTTTAACCACCTTTCTGCATAGAAGGGATTCTACTTCTGACAACTTTTATTACCTTTAATATTCCTTCTTTCAGCACTCTCTCGTGCATCCCTTTACTTACATGATGATGATATTGGCAAGTACTATAATGATGCCTCAAATTCCACAGTGTTTCACAGCCTACAAAAGCCACCAGGCATGTTTTTCACTTCTCCCAAAAATCCTGTGAAACAGTTAAAATGAGGATGTTATGTTAACACTGGGATTCTGAGAATTTGAAAAGATCGATAAAGTTCTATGACTTGCCCCAAAATAAGTCAGCTTAGGCTCTTTGAGCTCCTCTGTTCTATGATGTTTCTCCTGAACTGCTACCATCTCATTCGAGTTTGTATCCTCTCATTCTGGATGTTCTTACTGTTATCTTCATCCCACCTCAGGATTAAATATATTTCCTCCTCATCCTTCATTGAAATGCATCAAATCCATGTTTCATTTCCTTAGATTCTCTGTTCAAGTATCCCTCAAGCAAGTCCAGGATTTTGAAACCCATAATTGCATACTAATAGGGAGGGAGGGAGAGTAACCTCCAAGATTCCGTGTGCTCTAGCACTAATGTTCACAAATTCAGCAATTTTCCTGGTTTTAGATGGAAGAAGTGGGAAGTACGATGAAACAATGAGATTTTTTTTTTTCTCTTTCACCTGATAATCTAAATGAGTATTACTTTCCAGGTAGTCATCTTGGCAAAAACTAGGCTTACTCTACATTATAATGTGTTTTTGAGGTTTATGTAAGCACTCTAATCGAATTTCTAAAAATATCCTCATAGTAGTAATTCTTCATTTTTAAGGGAAGATTTGATTTTTGGAAATGACCCAAAGTTATCAGAGCCAGTAATGGGAAATGATAAAAATTACTGAGCCAAGCCATGTCATTTGTGATTAAAGATAATGATGTCTATATAAATAAAGCCAGTGTTCTTGTGTGGTTCAAAAGCTGATGCTGAAAATAATTTCATAAAAGCAGTGGCAGCAGGGCTTCCCTGGTGGCGCAGTGGTTGAGAGTCCGCCTGCCGATGCAGGGGACGCGGGTTCGTGCCCCGGTCTAGGAGGATCCCACATGCCGCGGGGGCGGCTGGGCCCGTGAGCCGTGGCCGCTGAGCCTGCGCGTCCGGAGCCTGTGCTCCGCAACGGGAGAGGCCGCAACAGTGAGAGGCCCGCGTACCAAAAAAAAAAAAAAAATGGCAGCATTACAATGTAAATGTGTAATCTTCCCACATAACTATAATAAGTGTTCTAAAAGGAAAGTACTGATTTGATTATATGGTCATCTTTGCTTTTTAAAAATTGTCTAAGAGTCTTATTTTTCACATATTTCATGTCCCCTAAAAACACATTTTGTAGGCAACTGCCTACCCATATTAAGGCTAAAGAGCCCTTCATACTTGAGCACCCTTTACTAATAGTAAATCTTCAGTCAATTCTAAGTCATTTTCATGCCAATAAAGATTACGTTCAACACTACAAATAATCCATCAATTATATTTGCTCTGGGATATACTGTGAGAATTATATTTTGTCTGGGTGGCCTCCAGCGACACTACCCCAGCAGCAGATTTGCTAGAAGCTAATTTTAATTTGTATTAAGTACCAATAATGGGGGGGGGTGTCGTATTTTGTGAGTAGTTAGTGATTGTATTAGTGATAGCAGCCCGAGTTTAAAAAATTCTCCCTCGAGACAATCTAGAGTGGGAACTACACATGGATAAGTTAGAACTATTTCTGAATCCCAGAAATGAAATTTACTGCCTTTATATATATCTGTAAAGTCGTATGTCATCTTATGCTCCAAGTTCTGCTCTGTAATTCTATACAACGTTATTAGCAACTGCCTAGTGCTAATCTTGTTCTGACAGATTTTTGGTGCACTAAAAACAAAAGCCTTGGGGACATCCCTGGTGGTCCAGTGGTTAAGGCTTCGCCTTCCAATGCGGGGGGGGTGTGGATTCAATCCCTGGTTGGGGAGCTAAGATCCCGCATGCCTTGC